TAGCAGTTGAAAAATAAAAGAAATGCATAGTCACATTTTTTTTTTACAAGCATTTAAATTTAAATTTTGACAACATACGTAAAAATCAYGAAAATTCGAAAATTATTTTAAGCTAGAAATTTATAYAAAATTTTCTTTTTAAATCAAAGATTTGAAAATTTTTAATAATCTGTAATATATCCTAGATTGACAAATTTAATCATCTCCGTTCAGAATCGTTTTTCGTATACAATGATACCTATCATTGCATTCAAATCTAACCTGCCCTAGTCAGAGGTCCACACCACCACCTAATGTACAGCAGAGCGACATCCACTTGCCCGCTTTTTTATAAGTACTTTTATTCAAACGTTGATAAAATATTTTATTGAAATCCCGAAAATTTTTAAATTTATTTTAGTTAAAATATTATTCAATTTTCAATTTTTTAGCCAAGTATTGAACATTTAAAACAAGGATTATGTTTAATAATGRATGTTKTATTTAAAATATCAAAAAATATTTATAATATAGTCGGATAGTCCTGATTTACAGATTTTATTTCAAGTTCAGATTTTGACAAAATTAAATAATTATTAATTCATTTTTTGTATTTTGTTTATTGAAACGACTTCTAGGTCTACGTCAATGCTTATCACAAGTGGATAGTAAGGAGATCATGTGATCTATTTATCTATGTATATATCACAGTGATATTATCACTATATACATGATACTAACCCCCTCCTCCAAGAGGAGACATGTGTGGCCTTCACTCCCAGTGGAGTGGGACCTAGGAAACCGGATGATGCGATCGGACGACAGCAGGGATTTGGTGATCACATAAAACCACACATTTTTTTTGCATTTTGGCCAATGGCCATTTTGCTATGAAATGAACCGATGACTGTGTGAGTCGTGGTCAACTGGGTGATCACTACGCCATACTGGCCCTTAATTAATTAAGTGAAGAATAATAATTTATAATTGTTGTAATTTAAAAAACTATTTGTCGATGAAACTAAACGCAATATCTTACTCTATAAAAATTACAAATGCCATTTTTTTAATCAAAAATCAATTCAACCTACTGGGTTATTAATGTCTAACWGTAAAATAAATTAATTTTAAAACAAAAATAAAATAAAGTATTATATAGTAGTCATTAGATTATTCGAAAAACTCCCTTAAGCAAACTAAATGCTTAGTCCCCTGAGAAAACTTCTACAATTATGTAGAAGAAAATACATGAATTCCAGTCTCCTCGATAATTCAAAATGKCTGTAGGTGAAACACACTACGATTTGAATTTTTTTTTCTAGGATCTCTATAATTTGAATTTCTTTAAGTACAATTATATGTACAATCTATTTGACGCACTTGTAACGAAACTAATAATGATAGCGAATAAGTATTATCGTACCTTTTAATTTATCACAAAAAAAATAACAGATTTCTTTAATATGTAAAATATAATAATATAATAAATAAATGTAAATTCATAAATGTAACATATATAATTTTTCACCTATCTTTAATTCAAATTAATTTTTTTCCCTCAAATAATCAAACATTTGGTAAATTGAAAACCTTTACAAATTTTATTTTTAGCTTGGTCCCCAGAATTTTGAATCATTGAGTGAATTTGTAATATTATAGTTTCATAGGTTATCTTCAATCAGAATTGTTTTTCATATTGAATGATAGTACTAAATTTTCTGCCTGCACCTATTTTATATACATTACAAATTTATTGGTTGAATAGTATTCTATATTTGGTACAAGTAACAAATATATTCAAGTTTAATACAAATTTAATAATTAAAATGTATTTATGTATATATTTTTAAAGTAATTCACAAAGCAATTTTCCTGTCGAAAATATAAATACATAAATGATTAAATTGGCATTTTCAATTGTTTTATTCATAATTCAATACCTATTAACTTATCTACGGCTATCCCTATCATATTTATCACTTCTTTTGATTCTGTCACTTCTTTTATCTCTATCATCTCTATTACTTCTTTTATATTTGTCACCCTTTTCATTTTTTCCATCTTTTTCATTTCTTCTTTCTCCTTCATTTCTATATTTCTTTCTCATTTTGTCATCGTTTTCATATCTTCTGTAGTTATCTTTTTCATTTTTCTTATACTTGCTATAGGGTGCCTTTTCCTCTTTTTCACTTTCTCTATATCTATAGTTATTATCATCTTTTTTATAACGTTTTGATTCATGAGACGACGTTTTATTTTTAATATAATTATTTCTAGAGTCATAACTATCTCTTTTCTTATTTCTGTATTTTGAATATTTATCACTTATATTTTTCCCTTCATCATCTTTATCAGTATATTTTACTCCACGTCCTTTGCCAAGCCATTTAATTTTTGATACACTCTGGCTGAAATCTACGTGAATTCGGCGATCGTCAATTAGAACATTGTCCATTTTCAGATAAGCATCTTCACATGATTTTTGATTATCAAATTCAACAAAAGCATATTGTAGAGAATTCCCAGTTTTTTTATCTCTAATAACTTCACAACTGTAACAAAATAATATACATGCTAATCAGGAAAGTGGTATAATTAATTTTGCTAATTTTTATCGTGGTACACAATTAATATATAAAATACAAAATAATGTATCGGTATTATATATCATAATTCAATAAGAGGATGTCAGCGCATTATTTGTTTTCTCTCTCTG